AGCTGAAGATAGGCATACGAGTTAATAAGATAACAAGATGTAAGTACTGCATCCCCCCAAAAACACAGCGGAACATGTAGATTGATTGAGTAGGGTACGAGCAGTTTCAATAAGATGTCTATTCTTTCTTTCAACTACCCCATTTTGTTGGGATGTGTACGGACAAGATATTTGATGAATAATCCCATGGGAGTTCATAAACTGCTGAAATGGGGAAGACAAATACTCTAGGGCATTATCACTACAAAATGTGCGGATAGAAACCCCAAATTGATTTTGAATTTCAGCGTGGAAGGTCTGGAAAATAGAAAACAACTCAGATCGATTTTTCATCAAAAATATCCAAGTGCACCTGGAATAATCATCAATGAAACTGACAAAGTAGCGGAATCCCAAGGTAGATTTGACCCGACTAGGACCCCAAACATCTGAATGGACTAAAGTAAAAGGTGACTCTGCTCGATTATCAAGACGCCGCGGGAAATGGGAGCAGGTATGCTTACCGAGCTGACATGACTCACACTCTAGAGTGGACAAGTGAGATAAGCCAGGTACCATTTTTTGAAGTTTTGACAAACTGGGATGTCCTAACCGTTTATGTAATAAATCTGGTGAATCAGTAACTGGACAAGTTATTGGAGGAAGACAAGATGCGAGTCCATGTGATTTTGCAAGGATAAGGTAATAAAGTCCATCAGATTCACGTCCGGTACCAATGATCCGCCCTGTACTGCGTTCCTATGTAAAAACAAGGTCATCAAGAATAAAATAGCAGATTTAAGTGATTTGGCTAAGCGACTAACGGCTATGAGATTAAAAGGACGACCAGGAACATAAAGAACTGTGTCTAAAGGTAAGGAAGCAAGTGGACTTGCTTGACCTATTGCAGTTTCCATGGCTTGAGACCCATTGGCCATTGTGACTGTTGGAAGAGATTGAGAATATGAAATACTAGTGAAAAGAGATTTGTTACCAGAAATATGATCAGATACGCCTGAATCAATGACCCAAGACTCAGAGGTTGAAGGTTGGGAGACACAAGTCACGCTACTATCTGTTGGAACAACGGAGGCTAATCCTGAAGATGTCTGTTTATGTGCTTTGTACTGAAGGAACTCAATATAATCCGGTAGAGAAACCATCCAACTCTTGGTAGTATTGGATTCCATTTTGCTACAACCAATTTCTCAAATTCTTGATTACAACTTGTGTGGTTAACCTTGGAATGCCAAATCAGAACACCTTTTTTTTTTTAAACACTGTTCACTCGCCGGAAAATAAAAAAGGTTGCCGGAATTTGATGAAACTTGAATAGACCGACTCAGAATAATGTCCTGAGAAGGCTGTCCAAAAGGAGTTTCGTTAGAAACTGACTGGAAGGAGGTCCACGCGCCGGTGCGTGGACAGATCTCGCCGGAAAAAAAATCACTCCGGTCGGCGCGTGGATGGGGTTTTTCCGGTGGGGTTTTGTGGGGTTTGGTCGCCCGGAGATGGAGAACACTATGGTGGTGTTGGTTTATGCACAACACCGGTAAAAAGTGGTTTTGATGCAAACAGCTACTCGGGTCACCGGAAAATTGCACGGTGACGACTGATTTCTTCCCGGATGTCGTTGGAATGACGCACAACGATAATTATCTCACCAATGCTCTGATACCATGTGAGAATGCACGGGAGATATTATTGATTAATATTGACAATGATACAATGAGCCCTACGGAAGCAGTTTGGGAGTCATGCCGGGGCGTTCGACTACGGAAGCGATTCATCTGGTTAGGAGATTAGTGGGAGCAGTACAGGGAGAGGAAGAAGGATTTGCATATGGTGTTTATTGACCTTGAGAAAGCATACGATAAAGTCCCGAGGGAGGTCCTGTGGAGGTGTTTGGAGGTTAGTGGCATTCCGGTAGCGTACATTAGGGTGATTAAGGATATGTTTGATGATGCTAAGACTCGGGTGAGGACTGTGGGGGGTGACTCGGAACATTTCCCTGTGGTGATGGGGTTGCACCAGGGATCGGCTCTTAGCCCATTTTTATTTGCCTTGGCGATGGATGTATTGTCGCGACACATCCAAGGGGAGGTGCCTTGGTGCATGCTATTTGCCGATGATATAGTGTTGATTGACGAGACGCGTAGCGGAGTTAACGCGAGGTTGGAGGTTTGGAGACAGACCTTGGAGTCTAAAGGTTTCAAACTGAGTAGAAACAAGACTGAATACTTGGAGTGCAAATTCAGTGACGGGACCCATAATGCAGATGTAGAGTTTAAGCTTGATGCTCAAGTTATCCCCAAGAGAGCGAGTTTTAAGTATCTCGGGTCTATTATCTGGGGTAACGGGGAGATTGACGAAGATGTCGCACATCGCATCGGAGCAGGATGGATGAAGTGGAGGCTCGCTTCCGGTGTTTTGTGTGATAGGAATGTGCCGCTAAGACTTAAGGGTAAGTTTTATCGAGTGGTGGTTCGATCGGCTATGCTGTATGGGGCTGAGTGTTGGCCAGTCAAGAACTCCCACCTGCAGAAGATGAGAGTAGCAGAGATGAGGATGTTGAGATGGATTTATGAGTGTACTAGGAGAGATAGTATTAAGAATGAAGCTATCCGGGACAGAGTGGGAGTAGCCTCCGTGGAGGACAAGATGCGAGAGTCGAGGCTGAGATGGTTCGGACATGTTAAGAGAAGAAACATTGATGCTCCTGTCAGGAGGTGTGAGAGGTTGGCCATGGAGAGTTTGAGTAGAGGTCGAGGTAGGCCTAAGAAGTACTGGGGAGAGGTGATTAGACATGACATGGCGCTGCTTCAGCTCACTGAGGACATGACCCTTGATAGGAGGGTGTGGAGGTCAAGGATTAAGGTAGAAGGTTAGTAGGTAGTTTATAGTTGTTCACCGATAGTCTTAGTATCATGCATGTCCCTTCATATTCTTAGATTTCTATTACGTTATGTGGTTGTGTTAGCCTCAGGTATTGTATTCCCTGCTGCTATTATTTGGTACTACTTATCCTTTATCTCACCCCTTCTTTTTTCTCTTCCTTCTTTCTTCCTTCCTTGCTTTCCTCTTCTTCTTTTTGTCCTTCCTGAGCCGAGGGTCTATTGGAAACAACCTCTCTACCTGCATTAGGTAGGGGTAAGGTCTGCGTACAGCCTACCCTCCCCAGACCCCACCTGTTGGGATCAAACTGGGTTTGTTGTTGTTGTTGTTCCTTCATTTGGAGAGGCAATTTCCCTTTCTGCGTGTTAATCTTGTTATTGTAGGAATCGGAGAGCCTTCCGAGGCGAGGCCGCGCTCCTTTGAGGAGGGGGAAGGGTCGCTAGCCTCAGGCTGAAGAACGACAACAATAAGCGGGAGATGCCTTTACAGGGTGATGGCGCTCAAAGCAGGGCGAGGCTGGACCCGGGTTCGGGAACGGAAGCATCACCCGAGCCTGCCGTGCCCATGGTCCCCGGTTCTGAAAAGGTGGTTTCTCCGTTGCCACTACCTTCTCATACTGCTGATAGTGCTTTGGGGGATACTAGAAACTCGGGGTCGTCTACTCCGAGCGACCGTGTCTCGACTGGAGTCAATTCTTTTAGAGCTAAGGGAGATAGGTTAACGGATGCACGTTCGGCCTTCGAGGAAGCCCATCGGCTTCACTTCGTGGTGAGTTTTGACGTAGGCCCTTTAAATTTCGCGCCTTGCCTTTCTTATTGGGTTTCCCTTTGCAGGCCTTTGACAGGCTTAAGTCCGGGCTGCTTCGTCGTGAAGCCCGGCTGTGGAAAGCCCTGGATGGGGAGAGATCCCTTAGGCTCCTTTGCGATGAAAAGGAAGCCGAGCTGGAACACTTGCAGTATGAGACAAGCCGGAGCTTGAACTAGGAGAGCTTCTCGGAGGAGCAGGTAACTTTCTGCCCCGGGTGAGTATGCGCCCCACCTCCTGGATTCTAAGGCTAATACTTCGTTTATTTCAGTTGCAGAAAATGACGGAGGCCTTGGAGTGCCTTCGAGATGAAGTCGGCCGAGCCAAGAGTGAACATGATAAGCTAAGAGCTCTGGCAGAGGTTCAAGCTTTAGAGGAGAGGGATGCCCTTGCTAAAGTTCCAGACCTCGAGGCCCAACTCCGCTTAGCCTGTGACAATGCTTCGGCTCAAGCGGACGTGATTGCAAAGCTCGAATTCGAGCTTTCGAAGGTAAGGGCCGAGATCATTGATGCCCGAGCTGAAGCTGTAATGAGCCGAACTAAGGCTGACCAGGAGATAGAGATCCACTTAAAAGATGCTACTGATGCTCAAGGTGATTTAAGAAGGATCCTCGATCGTGAAGAGAGGATTAAAGAATATGCCCGTTGCAAGTCTCGAAGGAGGACTTTTGAGGAGATCTGTGCTAGGGGATTTTTTCTCTCGAAAGAGTTAGCACGAGCAAGGGCGGACGAGCGTGATGCTCAGTTACTTCTATCTAACGTTGGGGAAAGCGAAGATGAGGCCGGCAGGCCGTAGCTCCTGGGGGGAGCGTAGATTTTTGCCATCTGTATGTAGTATTTTCAAAGCATGTTTGTAGATGGAGATTGCGTTTTTCGTACATGTGTATAAGGAAACCCTTGCGGATTTATTTCTTCCGCATCTCTTTCTGTCTTGAATTTGGCCAGGGGAACTGGTCTTTGATTTGGTAGGAACCTTTAGATTCGCG